ATACCAAACAATCATGAATCAAACATGCACTTTATTTATTTACACTAAATATCAAAAGTACATCAAATCAGATTGAAGCTAAGGGCATACAAAACTGTCTAACATAAACAACCATTTTAGTTGACTTAGAGAGAGAGAGAGAGAGGTGTAGTGGCTCTAGGTAGCAATACTTGCAGGTTATTACATCCATCTCCATGATGATAAGGATGTGAAAATGATCAAATTGAAGATAAGGATCTTATGGTGAGCGAGTGTCATTGATTCTGATAGGAAAATGTGGAAAAAAAGTGCTATTTGATATTTGGTGCCTTCTACCTCTTGGAGGCCCAAATCAAAGTGCTGTTTGATTATGACAGGATTGTTTGGAGGCCCAAAATCTAATGTCAATTTTACTATGAAAGTTGCATATGATAAAATCTTCTTGACTAATTGTTATAATCTCACTCCTAATTAACTGCTGATTTTTTTTTTTTTGCAAGAATCGGTGCTCCCCAAAACTAAAAATGTTTATGTTCTTTCTTCTCACAAATAAGCTCCCTTCGAATATAAATTTAATCAGTAGGGACATCAACATTGATGGTGCTTGTGCTCTTTGTGGGGTTGAGGAAGACATTTTTAAAGATTGCTCCTATGCCAGACAATTGTGGAGTATTCTTGACTCCAACATTGATGTGCAAATTATGGAATTATAAAGATGGAGTAGATGGCATTGATGTGCATTACTTCATAAAAAATAGTGTGATAGTTCTGTGTTTTTTATGGAAGAATAGAAATGATAAAGTGTTTAACAATAATCTCTCTCCTCCTCCCATTCTTATTCAGAGAGTGCTAAATTTTTTGTGGACCTTAAAACCAAGGGTGAGCATTGTTTGATTAAAACTAAAAAACTTAACTGAAAATTTAAATTTTGGTTTTCAGGTTTGGAAATCCAATTAACCAAAAAAATCAAATTAACCAAATTTTATTATCTATATATAATGCGTATATAATATCTATAATATATATTAAATTATATTGGTTTTAAAAATTCGTTCTATTCAGTTCTGATGAGGCCAAAAATGGTCCCACCAATAGATGAAGCACAGAATTTGTTCACTCCCTCTGATCTGATGAGGTGGCTCGGATCAGGTTCAACCTGTGGTGCGAGTACAACTACAGTGTTGAGCTATGATGCCAAGCTGGGGGTCCGAGCTAAGAGTTGAAAAGGAAGAGAGGTTAGAGTGCCTAGGTATCTTTTTACCCAAGGGACACTCCGATGCTTAAGTTAATGAATGATCCTTTGTGTGAGAGAACATGAGAGACTGAGAGTTTATGTGCGCATATCTTTTGGAGTGGTCCTGAGGTCTTTTTATATCTACCTAAGGTTTAGATGCTGTCTGGTAATATCTCTGAGCCTTGTATGGAGCTGTTTCCTAAATCTTGGGGTGTACTGGTCAGTTATTTTCT